CACAATGCAGAGAAAAATACAAGAGAATACAGATATATTTTAGTTGCAGATGTGTACCTACAAGTTCCGCAGTCTGCAATAGGTTCTTTGTAAAACAAAGAGAATAAAGTTGTTTATCATACTTTATTAAGGCAAAAAAAGTAAAATTTAAAAATGTACCATCAGTTTTCATTTAAATTTTACACAGCAAAGCAAACAATTTAATTTTTTAAATTATTTATTTAAATAACATAAAAAAACTGTATCACACTAGTTACTTGCAATCATTCACTTTTTTAAATTTTGTCGTAACTGATCGAAGTCCGCTAGCAAATGGATCAACACAGCAGTTGTTAAATAATCTCAAGGTTCGAGGTAAAGAAGAAAAATAGCCGTAGTTGACCTGATGAAATGGAATACAAAACATTGGGGACTTCTGACGTCTTTGATATATGTTCACACCAATGGACTGGATGATAGCCGGACAGTTATATAAAAAGTGTCAAGATATCGGAGTAGGTTCATCTATCATAAAAGGCTCACATAGCAGATCATAATTAATGCCATAGTTGTTGGAGATATTTTTACCGGCTTCATATGCTAAGGATTTCAGAAATGTGAAGACCAGACTACCGATTCATACTCAAGTGTAAAAAAAATGTCTTCCAGCTGACCCAAAAGGGCAAATATGAGTCCAAGGTCCCTAACTTTGGTGACGTTTTGTAGTTAATAATATATCAATTTTGAAAAGTGTTTGTTAAGCGAGAGAAGGTAATACTAAAACACATTCCAAAATTGAGATCTAGACCATTTGCTCTCTATTAAGGTCGCTCTGAAAGAGCTGAGCATCTATAAATGATTCAATTGTTTTATAAAATTTAATATCATTTGCAAAGGCAAATGGTCAGAATACAGAACCACATCACTCAGGTTTCTTATTAGCCTAGGTGTAAACCCTGATGGGCACCCGAGTGCACCACAGTTTCTCCGGAAATATAATTGTTAATTCGGACCTGTTAAAAAGCTGTCACAAAATTCAACCAGAGTACCACCCAGTCCCATGGGCTGATTGACTCTGTCAAATGCCTTTGAAAAATCCGGGTAGACACCTTCCACCTGTTTAGACTCAAGCACTCAACAGATCTTGTTGATAAATGAGCACATCAGTCACACCCATTTTTTTTTTACAGTGACAGGAAAAACGATGACAGAATAGCTTATCAAAAAGTTTGGGAATGACACATTGTATATATATATATATATATATATATATATATATATATATATATATATATATATATATATATATATATATATATATATATATATATATATATATATATATATATGATGACACTATATTCCGGGATATCATCCGTTCGCTCGTTGAACTCCGACTGGAATCCTGCATCCGACTGGAATCCTGCAAATCTTGCATCCGACTGGAATCCTGCAGACGTTTCGCCAAAATCTCACTTGGCATCTTCAAAGCTCGCGCTCCGAAAACACTTCGAACACGGAGCGCGAGCATTGAAGATGCCAAGTGAGATTTTGGCGAAACGTCTGCAGGATTCCAGTCGGATGCAAGATTTGCAGGATTCCAGTCGGAGTTCAACGAGCGAACGGATGATATCCCGGAATATAGTGTCATCACATTTTTCCATCCGTGAATCAATACGTGAGGATATATATATATATATATATATATATATATATATATATATATATATATATATATATATATATATATATATATATATAGTTACTAGCATTGCTTCTGTCAGCATTCTTATCAATTGCCGTTAATTTCCAGTAATCAGGAAAAACAGCAGATGATAGAGAAGCATAAAAAATCTGGTGGTGTAGATTAGTATCCTTTTTCTCTAGTGGAAAACACGCTGGGGTTGCAACAACTGTGTTTCGGTTTTAATATATAATATGAAAATTTTAACCTTTCAACAGATATCTGTAAAATAAAAAAATATTATTATTTTACGAACAATAATTTAACCTCTGTTAAATTGTCAAAAACTCTAAATTTCACAACTATGTAACGGGATAACGGAAAATTACACATACCTGGCCGAATTTAAAGTCAGACAAAACATCTTCTTCGGCATTAAATTCGGAAACATTTATTTTTTTGGACAAGGCGAGTGAAAAAGTGTATCAGTGAAAGTTTTCGAATTTGAGGAATATATTCTATCGGTCTGGAGGGTCCCCAGGGAGAGACAAAAACATATTCAAAGAAAAAGCTCCGGGTCCCTGGAACGATACGAAAGCAAAGGAGCCGACAAGTCTCGAAAAGTATGCCGGGCAGTGCGTCTCTTCTTTCCGGGAACTTTTTATGTTCTATTTTGTTTTCCGTCGAACACGTTAATACTCGCTATATGCTTTTCACGGTGCAGAAACAATTAAAATATAAACGCTTTCGACGTGTTCCAAAAGTGAATACGCCGCTTCTAGATAAAGAAAATAATAACCGATAACAACAAGTTCATCCAAACCGACATTTTATATTAAACTGAAGGGCCTTTGCTTTGAAAAATACAACTGCGCCCTGAATGACGCAACTTGTTAATACGCCTTTGTACGACGGAAAAACATCGGCAAAGATTTTCCGTGCCTAACTCGTATCAACATTTTCCAGAAGCGAAATAACTACATTTACGAAAGTACAACGAAATAAATAGTCCGACAACGAGGCATTTAATTCAACTGTTTGTAAGTTCATAATTAGTTTTAACTTCTAATTATTTAGGTACCTTTGAGGATAGAATAGAGAAAAACTGAAAGGATGCAATTATTACACCTTTCATAATTAAAATATTAGAATAATAGAAATCCAATCGATATTTGGTAATATTTGCATCTTTCAATTCATAATTAAATTTTTTATTATTTATTTTGGCACATGATTCTTCCCGGTATTTAAAGACGTATTCACCGGTCTTGGCCAAGATGGGACGTTTTTTCCTTATAACAATTAGCACAGCTAACTCCAGTCACGACCCACGACTCTTCTTATAATTGAGCATGTATGAAAAATGGCACCTTTTAACATTGGCTTATGTAACTCCCAGTCGAGGCCCAGGGTTGATGGGCTATTTTATCAGTCTTAAAAATAAGAATTAGGTCGGAAATATTATTCGCTATCAGAGGTTCTTTGAGAATTTTCCTATTCTCACCTCATCCTCACAGACAGGTCGGGGCTGGTATTGATAGTATTTTCGCCGCCATCACAGAACATCCTGCTACTATCTGGTCCCAAATACATGGCACAAATGACACTTTACATCTTCGAGCCGTGAACCCAATATGTATATTCTTGTGGCAATGATCTGACCTTGTATTGCCGAAATAAAACCTTCGGTTTCCGGGAATAAGTTGCTGGATCGCAAATACGAAGTTACGAGGTTAGCCCAAAATTTCCCGGCCTGACATAGATGCAGCTCCAGAATCACGATAAAACTTTGTCTTCTTCTAAATATATATCTTAATAGACTGCAAAAAAAAATGAAGTCTTGCGTCAAATAGGTTTTTATTGACAGCATTTTAAACAAGACGTGTCCCAAAAAAACAACGCCGTGTCGAGTGTGCATTTTTGGTTAGTTTTTGACAAAAGAAAGGTTAGCATCTAAAATTATTAAAGAAAGGCTGGATGGTGTGTACGGCCAAAGTTCTCCTTCGTATTCTGTAGTGAAAGAATGGGCAAAACGTTTTCGAATGGGACAGGAGTCCCTTGAAGATGATTCAAGAACTGGTCGACCAGTGGAGGTCATAACGGAATAGATTGTTGCGATTGTGGAAGAGGTGGTATTGAGTGATAGACGTTTAAAGGTCAAGGAAATCTCAGAAATTACTAAGCTTTCTGATACAAGTGTTCGTCGAATCCTGCATGATCGTTTAGGTATGCATAAGGTTAGTGCAAGATGGGTTCCTAAAAACCTTTCGGCTATTCAAAACCAACGCCGTGTCGAGTGTGCGCGGTCTTTTTTGGAACTCTGTGAGTCGGAACCGAAGCCTGTGATAGAAGCTATTGTGACGGGGGATGAAACTATGGTTCTCTCTTATGACCCTCTATCGAAAAAAGAATTAATGGAGTGGCGTCGTAAGGGTGAAGCACCTCCAAGAAAATTCATAGGCTGCCAGTCAACAATGGTGATGGCCACGATCATTTGGGGTTGTGAAGGAATTCTACTGATAGATTTTAAAGAAACTAATACCACTGTCAATGGTAAATATTACACAACATTATTACATAAATTGCGAGACTGCAGACCAGAGGCACGATAATGCACCTCTCCATACTGCTGGTGTTGCACAAGCTGCCATTTTAGAGTGTGGGTTCCAACAGATAAATCATCCTCCTTATAGTTCAGATATGGCCCCAGCGAGTATTATTTGTTTGGATATTTGAAAAAGGACTTACGTGGACCGCGGGTTAACGATGATGTTGAGTTAAAAGCTTATTTTGCAGACAAACCAAAAGAATATTTGAGGGATTGAGTTCTTATTTAAGTTAAGTGAGATTATATTGAAAAATACTAAAAAATTGTTACTCTACTTTGTTTCTTTCATATTCAGGCCGAGAAATTTTGGCGCTACCCTCGTATTTCCCATGAAGTGCTTTACCAGGTCATATGTGGAGTTTTTCTGCCTGTGCAGGGTTGTCCTGCCTATTTGCAAGTTTTAACGTTCGGAAATTCTCTACCTGTTTGCCATCGAAAACCACAACGCCTGGCATACGTTTATGGGAAGATCAAACCCTTCCAATGAAGATTTTGGGTGGCGAACTCGATGTTTTCGGAACTCAGTTCTTGTGCTGGTCTTCATTTCGTTGAGTTCCGTTCTTGTCCATGAGATAATCCCAAAATTATAGCTTATGGGCGAAGTTGCACATACGTTAATCGCATTTCGGAACGAAGGATTGAACGGAATATCTATGGCTTGTAGATATCCAGCTCCTTCCATTTTTCTTCTTCTTCCATGCGCTCTACGACACGCTGATCTGAACTTACCCCATAATCCTGATGTAGGTTCCACGCACCCCTTTTCATGCCGCCCATCTTGAATTTCTCCAGCCCAAACTTCATACTGCAACACAAATGAATAAGATTCTCAATTGTGCAGGCGTTTTGGAGTACAACTTGAGATCGTCCATGGACCAAACATGGCTAAATGATCTGTTGAGGTGTGGCATCGGATATCCCTTGTCCATTCTGTTGAGCATCCCAGTTAGTGGCTTGAACGCTAAACTATGTGCCCATTAACTTTATAGAGGTTGAGGATATCAATTAACCAAGAGTGTGGCACACTTTCAAATGCTTTCTTATAGTCAATGTAGGCATAGTCAATTTTATAATAATAATAATTATTATTTACTCTTTATCAGAAATTGCACTTCTACAACAAGGAATCCATATCAGAGATTCTTCTTCTTCAGGTGCCAAGCAGATTTCTGCGTGGGCGTTCATCGCCTTCTTATCAGATGGTTCTGTTAATTGCAGCATTCTGTAGCGTTTGGAAGTCACTTATCCCTGTCCATTGTCGGATATTTCTTAGCCACGATAACTTTCTTCTGCCTATTCCCCTTTTTCCTCCTTCAATTTTACCTTGAAGAATGAGACGCTGAAAGTGGTATCGCTCTCCTCGGATTATATGTCCGAGATAGCCTGTTTTCCTTTTCTTGATGTTCTCGAATAGTTCTCGCTCTGCCAGGCCGGCTCTTCTTAGGATATCCTCATTCCTCACGTAATCGACCCAAGACACCCTTAACATACGTCGTAGAATCCACATTTCGAAAGCCTCAATTTTGTTGATGGTTTGTGCCCTCAGTGTCCATGCCTCGACACCATATAGGAGGACGGACCAGACATAGCATTTCACCATTCTATATCTGAGGCCAAAGTTCAAGTTCTTGTCTGTAATGAATTTTCCGAGCCTCAAAAAGGTTGTCCTAGCCTGCTCGATCCTACATCCTATCTCTTGATCCGGGTCCCATCCTTTATTGATCATGCATCCCAGGTATTTAAATTGTGTGACCTGTTCGATGTTTTCTTCATTGATATGTATTCGCGCATTAGGAATATCGCTCCTACTAACGATCATAACCTTGGTTTTTCTGATGTTAATTTTTAAGCCTAATATTGTGCTTTCTTCATTGACCTGCGTTAGCAGACTCTGGAGATCCTGTGCATTGTCTGCCAATATCACGGTGTCGTCTGCGTACCGGATATTGTTGATGGGGATTCCGTTTATCTTGATACCAAGAGGACTACCCGAGATGGACTCGGAGAATGCCTTTTCTACGTATAGGTTGAATAGCATGGGGGACAGGATGCATCCTTGACGAACGCCCTTTTTGATTTCGAAATCTTCGGTTGTTCCAGCGTTGCTCACTCGAACCTCCGCTCTCTGGTGCCAGTACAGATTACCGATCAACCTTATATCTTTTCCATCTAGTCCCAGTTCTCCAAGGTATGTCATCAGAAGGTCGTGTTTAACGTTGTCGAACGCTTTCTCGTAATCGATGAAGCACATAAAGACATCCTTTCTTTGATCCTGTCAATTTTGGACCAACGTCTGAAGACTGAATATGGCTTCTCTAGTTCCAAACCCGCTCTTGAATCCGAACTGACTAGCCCCACTCACTTCCTCACATTTCCGATAGAGCCTTGTGTGAAGTATTCGCAGAAAAAGTTTTAGAAAATGGCTCATTAAACTAATCAGACGATAATCCTTACATGATGTTGCGCTGTTCACCTTTGGCATTGCAACGAACGTAGAGCGGAGCCAATCCGCTGGGAAGTGTCCGGAATCATAGATGTTATTAAAAGGTGTCACGATCTTTTCCAAGTTTTGTTCGCTGACTAAATGAAGCGTGTCTGAGAACATATCGTCGGGGCCCGGAGCTTTGTTATTTTTCATCAGCTTGATGGCATGTGTGACTTCGCTCCTCAGTATGCTCGGTCCTGAGAGAGTAGATATCTCTATTGGGGGATTATCTGGTCTATCGTCGTTGAAAAGACGAATTGTGTATTCTTTCCATACCTGCAGCAATTCCTCAGGTTCTGTCACTATTTCATTGTGTTGGTTTTTAATGAGGCTAAGCGGTCTGTTGTTGTATAACCCCGCTATTTCTTTTACTTTTTTATGAAGGTGAAAACTATCCCCAAGCCTGCAAAGGCCTTCGGCCTCTAGGCATCTTTCATGTAGCCATTTCTCTTTTGCCGCTCTGATCTCATTTCGTATTCGTCTTTGAAGAGCTCCATATCTGTTGTAATCGTTCTGGGTTTTACATTGCCTTCGTTCCTCCATCAGTTTTAGGATATCTTCGGTCATCCACTTGTTTTTACTTGTTGTTTTTTCTTTCAAGAGAAACTTTTCGTTTGTGGTTGTAAAGGCTCGCTTGAGATCGAGCCAGTACCTGTCAGTGTCGTTGGTGTTGACAACGTTTTCTAGTTCTTTATTAAGATGGTCCTCATATGATAGTCTTGTTTTTTCAACTTTTAATTTTTGTAGGTCGAATGTCTTCCTAAGGCTCTTTCTCTTAGGTTTGGCTAGACGTAGAACAATGTTGGCGCACACCGGGTTGTGGTCTGATGCGATATCGGCACCCGGCATTGTAGAAATTTTGGTGATGTAATTTCGAAACCTTCTGTTAATTATGATGTAGTCTATTTGATTTCGAACAACGTGATAATTATTGTCTTGTGGGGATTTCCAGGTGTATAGTCGTCTTGCCGGGAGTTTGAACCATGTGTTTGCGATCATAAGATTGTTTTCCTCGCAGTACTGAACCAGCCCTTCGCCCCTGTTGTTTCTCTCACCCAAACCCCAGTCGCCAACCACTGACCCCGTCCTGCCCCTGCCAACTTTGGCATTAAAATCTCCAAGAACTATATTTATTTCATTAGTCCTTGTGAGTTTCAAGGCCGTATCTATTTGTTTATAGAAGTCTTCGACTTCTTGTTCAGGTTTGTCTGCTGTCGGAGCGTAAACCTGGATAATATTGATGTTTAGAGGCTTGCCAAGTATCTGGACGAAAGCCACTCTCTCGGAGATTGGGATAAAGCACTTCATAGATTTCTGCAGATTCTCGTTCATCAAGATACCAACACCGTGTTGATTACGATTAGCATTGTCACCAGAGTAGTAGAAGACTTTTCCTCCTGATTTGACCATTCCACTTCCAGGCCATCGGACCTCACATACTCCAAGGATCTCTATTTTCATTCTGTCCATTTCTTGAATCAAATTATCGAGCCTTCCAGCTGCAAATAATGTTCTAACATTCCAGGTCGCTATTTTCGTTATCTTATCCAGTTGGAACCGGGGGATTCTTCGCACCTCCTGACCATTTAAGGTCTGCCCGGGACTGGAGGCCATTTGTGTTTGAGTTTCCAACATGATAAGAGTTTATCGGATGAATATCCTGGGGATATCTAGAGAGATCTTTAATGCAGTGGTTTCCCGTTGCCTTCTGCATTCCCCTGCCGTTGACCATCTGCTGGTTCTTCCGCCTTTGAAACGATTTCTCATTTCTGGGACAAGAGAGTGCCCCGACTCCTCTCAGTTCTTCCACCCGAAGCTGTTGACCGACAGGGGGGGACTGCTTATACCGGCAGTCATTCGGTGCTTTGAATTTACTCCTAGAAGCCTAGGTTGCCACTTACGCCGATTCCGCCGAATCGAAGCTTTCTTCTTCGCCTTCACCGCCGATGTGGTCTTCATCCGTAACCCTGGACAAGGGGCCCTTACAAGGTGCTATCAGCCGGGGCCAGCTGAACCTAGGTTTTTTAGCGAGGTGTTACTCCTCGATCCCTCCTCCTTCCTTGCCCCTTGTGTGGCAAGGCCCCAGGCTTGGGACTGGCATAGCGGAGTTTACATAAGCCTAAAAAAAACAAAATAGCAAGCTAATAGGGAGATATCAACATGTGATTTCAAATACACAAATCACACAAAACCTCGTTTCTTTGAAAGTTCTTTAATACATTTATAATCAGGTAAGCAAGACGTTTGGTTCCACGTGAGTCCAAATTATTTAAAGCGCTAATAAAGGCTATTGAAAAACTCCATGGTAGGGATAGCATATACATCGGGCAAGTGAATGGAAGGTGGTAGATTGCTTCAAATTGATTAGTGCGATACCAAGACCAGAAATATTGTGTTTTTACAACCGACCAAATGATCAACTTTGCCTAGTCTTTGTTACTCCAAAATCGCAGTCCCTTATAGAATACCCTGTCGAGCAGACCCTTACCGTAACCATTCCAGGACCGTTCTAGGAATTTGTCGATCTACACTAACAAGCGGGATATAAGTATGTTTTCAATCTACATAAAGAAATCAGTACAAAGTAACAATTTATTACGTTATATTTCATTACATTTCTACATAGTAGCTTTATTAATATACAAAATATTAAATATAATAATAAAGTATCAGTCACTTAAAAAATCGTCACTATCGCTACTATCGTCACCTAGTTCAATGATCAACTCCGCCACTAATCGTTCTCGAAAAATATTTTCTTCTTTTATTACTAGTTTTTTACAATTCGACTAGCTTTTTACTGATATTTGAGCTACCTTTTGCCGAATTACTTTCGTGGTACAATCACTAAATTTTGATGCAGTGTTTTCTTCGTATATGCGCTTTCAACTCAGAGCAAATCTCAATCGGGTTAAATACACAATGATACGGGGATAATCTCAAGATTTCATGTCCGTTTTGTTGTGCTATCGACTCCATTTTGTAGTATTCATTAAAATGTTTTATTTTTAATAATTACAGAAGTTGTTTTTTCGCGTAGCTCTCGTCAAAATACAAATCATTTTCGTAGAGAAATTCTTTAATTTCTTCTTTACCTGAAGAAATATTTCGAATTTTTCTAATTTAGTTTGAATGATACGATTCATTATCCAACATAATAACGGTATTTACACTTGACTCTGTGACGTTTTTGACAAGTAGAACAATGTTATTAATCGACAGACACAAACTTAGCAGTAAGATAAATAGAGTACAGTTACTTACAATTTCAACTAAGTACTTGTAATAATTGTAATAATTACAACGATAATAGCGATAGTGATACTGATATATTATGTGATAAATTTTAAGTAATTTAAGTAGTTGATAAAAATAATTTGTAATTTTATTTTAGATTTAAACATAAATACATACATAAATAAATAAATATT